GGTCATCGATCCCTGAAGGTGCTTGATAACCCACCAAAAGCAAGTTACAGTTTTACGGAACGATCTAAGCCAGTGATGGCTAACCTTTTTGCCATCACATGCCAATAGTGTGGGGAGCGTGGGGGGTTGCGGGTGCCCACATCCATAATTCAATGTGTCCCACCCTCCCGCGCATGTTCACGTGACCCCCCACACACACACTTCCCCCTGCTTTTGGCACACAATGGCACTGTGGGCCTGGTAGGCCCATTTTTCCCCCTCCCCAGGCCCCAGAGGCTTTCTAGGAGCCTGGGGAGGGCAAAAACAGCCTTCCCCATCCCCCCGGAGGCCTTCTGGAGGCCGGAAACAGCCAGTTTCCCAACTTCCAGTGATACCGGAGGGCCTGAAAATCAGTTGGACGGTGCGCGCATATATGCTGGATCTGAGCTAGGGCAACACTCGCTTGCCTACCAATATGGCTCTGCGTGCCACCTGTGGCACCCGTGCCATAGGTTCGCCATCATGGATCTAAGCTGTACTCAATTTTTTTGTGAGAAATTTCACCAGGAGAAACAGATAAAAAAATGTCAGTGCTGCATATGTAAAGTTAGGGGTGAGGAGGGGATTATTAAATAACCTGTTGGCATGATGGAGAGCATTAGCTGCAGCTTTTAAAACCTACAATAAAATTACTACATGCATAAAAAGTGAAATAACAGTCACATCTATTAACTTAATTAGATAAAAACATTTTCAAAATACTGCTCAGTTGCTTGATGCAGAAAAGGCTACATTTTGTTCACCCAGTGGGGCAGTGTATGATTTGAATTTCATTTTTCTAATGAGGACCAGTTTAAAATTTTAAAGGGTCTCTAGGGCCTGATAATTTTGATGGATCTGCTTAGAGTTCTCTGATCTACACTCTCCTGCAATGCAACAATACAAAGAGGAATTCTCACTCCAGCTAAAGGAGACTGCTTCGGAATAGTGAAAACCTTCTTCTACCTCAGATCTTTGCTTGCTTCATTTTCTGATTTTGCCGTATGCAGTCATGACTCTTGTTTTTTATTATCTAATACCCCAAAGTTAGCAGTGTAGATCCATAACCTTCATTTCACACATGGGCAGATTGTGGAGAGATCTATTTGAACTTTGATCCATTTTCTCTTCCTTTGCTCTCTCACTCTATCCCAATGTAGCAATAGTTTAGGGCTTATTTGGAGATATTTTTTTTTCATAAATCTTCATTTTTATATATAAAAGAAATACACTGACATTCCAGAATAGTGTGGCAGAATCTCCAGCTAGAGTGAGGGGAGGAGTGAAAAGACTGGTGAGTCTTTGTAGGGAAGGAAGTGACAGAAGCCAAACCTCCCACCACCACCCCCAAAAATTCCCAAAGCCTTTATCTAACCATTCCCAAGAGAATGTAGTTAGTCAGGTAAGATTCTTGTAAATAGATAGGCAACAATGAAGAAGCAACTCTGTTCATCTCACATTGTCTTTCTGGTTCCTTGTGCCTGACAATAGGGACTATACTTCTATTCTCCATGCTTTTTCTGAATTCTTCTATCTATATTCTTGAATACAGTGATCTTATGATAATGTTCCAGTTTCCAGAGTATGGTCTTAAGCAACCAACCATTTTCAAGGAGAGCATCAGGAATTGATTAGAAGTTGTGAAGCTCACTGATAAGAAGCCAGAGGAACTATGGAATTAAATCAAATAAGATGATAAGGATAAATGTAAAAACACACTGCCAAAGAAAAAGATGAAAGCAAACTGGGTAGCATAAGCTCTGGTGGAAATAGCCAAAAAGAAAAAGGAAACCAAAGCCAAAGAACACAGAGATTGTAGGGAGAAACATAACAAAGAAATTCACAGAGCTCGAGAGACAAGAAGAAGTATCACAACGTAAAGACACATCCGTAAAGACTCTGAAACAGACATGGAAAAACAAGAAAAGCATTCCAAAAGATTTCAAAATTCAAAAGAAAATTTCATTTTCCATATCTTTTGATATACTAAAGAACACAAATGAACAACTAGAAATTGATTCAAAGAACATCAAAGATGGAATGGGTATACTAAAATTCGGCACAAAAGAGGTATCCACACCCAAGATGTATTTCAAGATATTCCCTATTTAAAAGTTCTCTAGAACTTAATACGAATAAGAAGTTACTCTGGCTTTCTGGTCATTACCAAGTTGGAAGTCTTTAAGAATTGAGAGAATAGCTACAGAAATATGAAAATAATCTGTAATGATTCCAACCAAACTATGCCAACAAATTTGGGGATAATACAATGGCCAACAGATTGGAAGAATACCAAAGAGAAAGAATTAAAAGCAAACAATTGGACACTATCCTTAATTTCCCATGATAGCAAAATAATGCTTAGAATCATCCAATGCAGATTAGAGCTTTACCTGGAAAGGGAGATGCCAGATGTTCAGAAAAGGCCAGGTGTTTAATATGGCTTTAGAAAAGGCCAAACAACAAGAAACATTATTGCAGATGCACACTGAATAATCGAGAAAAGTAAAAAGAAGTCAATATCTGTGTCATTAATTATAGAAAAACTTTTGATAGTGTGGACCATGTCAAGCTGTGAAATACCCTTAGAAAAATGAGAATTCAAGGACATCTAATTATATGCATGTAAGGAAGCCACACATATGTTGCAGATTAACACTTAGTAGGTAGCAATAAACATCTTAGAAATGATATTCTGATGCCGTGATGAATAACTATAGAGATAAAAACGATGCATGCAATGCAAATGGAAGATGGACTTTGAGGAAGCAGGATAGAAAGAGTATGGAGGCCTTTGAACGTTGAGGCAGGGGAGGACTGAGAATGCCATGTATAGCCAAGATACAAGAAATGGATCAACAAACAAATCAAGAATTCTCACTCAAAGTACAAATGACCAGGCTCAAATTAGCATATTTTGAAAAGTCATAGCTCTCTAGACATCTATAGCAGTTGAAAGATGGAAAGAAACGGAAGAGGACAACCAGCAACAAGATAGATGGACTCAATTTTATCGATGGATGCAATGGATGTACTACTGGAAGACCTGAAGGATCAGAATGGGGACCTATCTAGACAAAAACCATGTAATAGCTGAAAATTGACACCGACTTGATGACATATAATCAATCAGTGAATGGTTTATAAAACCCCACTAATGAATCTTGAATGTTTCACATTGAAAGGCAGTAAGCAATAATGGGAACTTGCTTATTGTTTGCTTTTTAAAACTATCAAAATTTGTTTTTCGTGATATCTGCCATTTTTTTAAAAAATGTGATAACTAAAGCCCTATTACTTCTTCATCACGTTTATGACATCTACTTTTCCTCATGTGAATGTTTCTTGATCAAGTAGCATGCCAACATTACCCTTCAGGTTCCTAAATTATCACATTTCATTCTTCAGAATTTCAGGTTAAATCATGTTCAACATCTAGCAACATAGATATTTTTCTTCAGAGAGTTTATCCCTCTACTACTCTCTCTGGCCCATCATTGGAATCATTTTGTTAAAGTTATTTCTGTTTTCTCCAGAGCTGATGGATTCCTGTTATTCTCACAATAAGGGTAGGTAGGTGTAAAATTACTAGCCCTTGTATGATCAAGTGTGTATAAGACCACATGACAGATGTAGTCATTTTTAAAAGTTTAGCCTCTAATGGTGATAGGTTCATTTTTTTAGGATCCATTTGTTATGAAATAACTAGCACATTTTCTAATACATAGAGGGACAATAAGCTTGGAATTTGGTTAATTAGTTTCTGGAGCTTGTCAGATTTACATGAGTGCTTATGGTATTTTTAAAGAAAGTGCAAGCACATTTAGCTTGATTGCTCATCATATTTGTTCCATAGCTGTGGCTCACATTGTTGCCCATTCTGCCCCTTTCTTTGCTACCAGCTGGTTTACTAAACCTGGATTCAAGAAAAGAGTTTCATACTATCTATATACTATAAAAATCTCTCCTGTATGTTTATTTGTAATCTTCAGTTCGTCCAAATGGTGCATCAGAGGGGAACTTAAGGCACCACAAATGGGCAAACTTCAAGAATGGGTCCAAAATCCAGGACCTATTACTCCTTGAAATTAGAATTCAAGTATTGGAATTTCAAGGATCTTTAGAATAGTTGTCTTCAAAAAGTTGTGGCCAGTGCAGTGCCACCACACCACCATGGCAGGGGTGAAATCCAGCAGGTAATGACAGGTTCTGGAGAACCGGTAGCAGAAATTTTGAGTAGTTCGGAGAACCAGCAAATACCACTTCTGGCTGGCCCCAGAGTGGGGTGGGAATGGAGATTTTGCAATATCTTTCCTCCAGGAGTGGGGAGAGAATGGGGATTTTGCAGTATCCTTCCCCTGGAGTCGGGTGGGAATGGAGATTTTGCAGTATTCTTCCCCTGCCATGCCCACCAAGCCACGCCCACCAAGTCACACCACGCCCACCAAGCCACGCCCACAGAACCGGTAGTAAAAAAAAATGAATTTTACCACTCCACCATGGTCACCCATGGTCAAGTGATGTGATTTCTCATGTTCCCTGCCAGTTCCCCAAAAGCAAAATTAATGGGAAATCAGCAGGAATTCAGAAATCACTCTGATTCCCGTTGCTTATTTGCTGAAATGATGACCCAATGTGGCATAGGCCTTATACAGTAGTGTATACCAGTCTGAGATGGCTGAATCTAGTTAATATACAATAAATAGTGATCAAGAGAAAGCATGATGGGGTCACATGTCTAATGATATAAATGAATGTAATTGATGTGATTATGTCATAACACATGTAATATCGCTCTTCCGTCCCCATATTATAAATATGATGTATAAGCAGAAATTAGTTACATTGAAGTATTTAGGTGTTAGGACAAATAGTAGCAAAGCTAGTTTTTAATAGCTATGTAGATCATTCTCTTTTTTTAATTATGTTGAAGTTAAGAAATTACAGCATGTATTTATGATAATGATTTGTTTTCCTTTCAGGCACCGGATTTCTAAATCTAAGTTTAGGTAAGCATTTCAATTTTTCAAAAAATGTTCTCTCCACTTCCACTGATGCTTATTAATAGGAAATTCTCATAGATCTTTTTGTTGTGAATAGTAATTGCTTATCATAAATATTCTGCTGACTAACATTTGTGATCAGTAAGGTTATTCAATCTTCCCATTTAATCAAAAATTAATTATTCTTTATATTAATCTAATGAAGACAAAATCTAATAAAGTGTTAAATTGTTGATTACCAGACTCTATATGATCTTGTTAACAGTAATGTGATTTAAATATCATGTAAATGTGAGAAGGGAAATGGCTATTGGAATACATGAAGAGGACACAGCAGTAAGAGGACTGTCAATAACTGGGATCAGAGTTACTCCAAATTTCTTATTGAATAGTCAGAGGGTGTTTTAAAAAAAACTAATCCTCTGCGTGGTCATAAAAAAAAGCTGTACAGGTTTTATACGAGTTAAAAAACATATTACGAGCAACTCTTTTAAAAAGCCTGCCTTAGCATAGGACCTTCTTCATTCACAAAAAAACCCACAAATTTCCTAGAACCTTAAAAAAAACTCATAGACCAAGAATCTTAAGTATAAAACATGCGAAGCCCACATTTTCTCCTTTGAAACCCATATTTCTCTTTAACTTAATATTTAACTTAATCTGTTTTTAATGGAGAACAAAAATGAGGGTTTTTGAAGAATATTGGTATATTTTCTTTAATTGTCTATGTAATAATTACTCAGCAATTTTCAGACACTTACATTTGTAACATTTTGACACGTTTGAACATGACAAATGGTTATTTGTTTTTATAACTATTATTATTACCCAGCGAGGGGCAGTACCAGCCAACTTTGGCTGATCTCAAAAAGCTAAGCCAGTGACAACTTTTAAGATTTGTGGACTTCAAGTCCCAGAGTTCTCCAGCCAACATAGCTGGTATTTTGATCCAGCTCCCCAAACACGACAAACCCTCTGTAGTTAAATCAATTATTCCTTTATTAGGAGTGCCAGCAGCCCCGGCAAAAAGTTTCTCAACGCAGGCTAACAAGTCCGGCCGACCGGAAGATGAATAGTTGTCTGCCACATCTATTCATCTCCGCCCCCTGCCTTTTATCTCCAGAGCTAGGGTGGGACTTCGTTAGCAGCGGTGACTCTTCCTTCCCAAGGATTGGCCCACGGATTTCCACCGCTCTCCTCTTCTCTGCCTTGTGTGCATCTGCGCATCAGGCACTGGACCCAACTGTATCTCCTCTTCCTCATCAGCCACCTCCAGACCTGGGGGCTGTTGACTCTCCGTCTGAGGGCTGACGGACGGCCCAGGCTCCGCCTCTGTTTCTCTCTCTCTCTCTCTCTGCCAGCTCCATTCCTTCTTTCCCCTCAGAGCTCTCAGGTTGCCTTGATGCTGACCAGGGGTGGGTTCTACTTACCTTTACTACTGGTTCGCAATGGGGCCGCGCGCATGCGCAGAAGCGTTCTGATGACATCAGGGTCGGTGGGTGGAACCTCCCTCTGATTTTACTACCGGTTCTATAGAACCGGTCCGAATCGGGGCAACCCACCCTGACTTCCACACCTCCTCCTCCTTCGGCTGTTGGAGGGGCCGGTGGCTGACAGGCCACAACAGGTGGTTGAAAAATTGCCAAGACTGAGAAAAACTGAGCTAATAATATCAGATCTGAGAAATCCTTGGATAAGAAACCATCAGAATTTCCAGAGCTTTGGGCAGGAAAGTTGAAATTGGGAGTGGGGGAGAAATGGACATGGAAGAAATTTTATTTTATTTTATTTATTTTTATTATTCATATTTCTATGCCGCCCACTCTCCGAGGACTCTGGGCGGCTTACACCAAAGACAGTATACTAAATAGCATATTGCCCCCAACAATCTGGGTCCTCATTCTACCCACCTCGGAAGGATGGTTGGCTGAGTCAACCTTGAGCTGGTGAGATTTGATCCGCTGATCTGCTGAACTAGCAGTCAGCTGAAGTAGCTGCAGTACTGCACTCTAACCACTGCGCCACCTCGGCTCAATGCACCTTTAGCAGCCAACCACAACTCCTGGATTACTTTTCTTACAGAGAGCACAGCTGCTGGATGTGTTTCAACACAAAACACTAAGGCTGCAGCCATCTGTGATCTTTTAAGATTGCCTTTGAGAACAAAAGCATCCATATAAATAAAGATGATAGCTACAAGCTAGCATTTTACTTTTTAGAGAGAAACATCCATCCATAAATAAACAAACTTTTTTAAAAAATATAAAGACAGGTGAGAAACCTGGCAGACAGCAATTTAGGAACCATATGCTGTTGTATGATATTATCTTAGAAATAAAGAAGACTGTCTGATAAGATATTGCTGGAAAATTCACCTACTATATTATTTTACTGACAGTTCAGCTAGAATGTTTTCATTGGGAGCAACCCACAGTTGTTTAAAAGATGGGCGACTATATAAATGCTTTAAATAAATAAATAAATTGCTGCTTATCACTGGGCAGAGATAGGGATAGAAGGGGGCAGAGATGAGCTTCATCCTTTAAATATGCATCATATAACAAGACTAGACTAGGCACCAGTTGCTTGGAAACTGGTTGCTAAGCAAGCTAAGTTCTGAAGAATAGAAGATGTATAATTAGCTCTCTCTCTCTCTCTCTTTTTTTTTTTTTTTTGAGGGGGGTGTTAGTAATTACTGTCTGAAGTCACTCTGACTCTTATGTGGGGCACATGTGTTCCAGAAAAGCAAACTGTAACATCACATTATGTTCGTAGCCCATCTCAGCAAAGAGTATTATTACTCTGGGTACAAGAAAGAAGATATTGTAACCTTGCTATAGAATTCTTCAAAACAATTTTGATCCAGAGAATTCTTTGCTTATTGTTGTTGAGATATGAGCTACTATAGACCTTGATCATGAAAGCCAATATGGCTATAATTATATTCAGCAGGAACAGGAAAGGGTCAACTCCTGTAATCAAAGATAAAGCCTGTGGTTATTAGATAATTGGGAAATTACTATTTCATGGTGGGAAAGCCTAAGGAGAATTCAACAACTGGAATGTAACCTAATAACCATTATGCTCATTTTAAGCATAAGAAGTCATATTTACACAAACTGAACTACTCAACTCTAACTAACCACAAAGGTGGAAGCTGTAGTTTTGAATCAGTAGCCTTGTGTCTTTTGAGGTATATGAGAAGAAATGAAAACCAGGAATCGGCTTCTTCATCCCACTTCCAACAGCAGTTTTTCTTGGAGCTCCTCCGTAGAAATCTCAGCAGCAAAATGGTACAAAATAGAACATATGCATCTTGTAGGACATTTTCATGCACGTTTCCCACTAGCTGCTTCCAAGTGAATCCAGCCTGTCTTATTTCAAGAGGCAAATACACAAGAATGAAAGTTCTGAAAGCTTTATTTAAACATTAAACTTACGGTCCTTCGTTGAAAGCCATTGAAAGAGAAAAGTTCTATGCAATAAAGCAAAAGAAAGGGATTTAATGGTAGAAAAAAATAATCTTCACCACAATTTCTCAAACAGTATCTATTATATCCAAACTGTCCAGTCATCACCTAAGGAAATGATCAACTTGAATCTTATTTATTTATTTATGGTAATTTATGCTTATTTATGCTAAGATGCCAAAGCCTCAGTGGTTAAGAATGGCAAATTTATGCTCAGTTATCTTTATTAGGCTAGAAAGCCACTTTCTACAAAACTCTTTTTCAGTAAATTAATAAGTTCCCACTCAATGTGAATATATTAATGAGAGGGACAGTATCTAAATATAATAATCAAGTAGGTATAAAATATATAAATATACGTTCCAATGTATGATAATATTGTGTAGGACAATTTGAACATATTTTGTGTAGTCTCGCCCAAACATTTTACTCTTCAGGAATACTGGAAGTTAAAATAAAAGTCTGCAAGAAAGAAAAAGGTGAGGATCGTTTGGAGATAATGTTACAAAGGTGACTTTATTTGCCTCTTCTTATAAACTCATTTATCACAGACATTCTTGAGAAAAAGTAGTCCTTGAGGTCATGAGGTAGATCGGAGTGTCCTGCAATCATGGTCAGTTTTTCTCTTTTGTTTCCTTTTTTCCAAGCCGCTACTGGCGTAGATGGAATCGATTCTGTAGACGAAAATGTCGAGCTGCTGTCAAATCCAATGTGTTCTACTGGCTTGTGATCTTCCTGGTGTTTCTCAACACACTTGCCATTGCCTCTGAGCATTACAATCAACCAGACTGGCTCACTGAAGTCCAAGGTAAGAAGAGGCATAGAGTTAGCGTTGTGCGAACATAAACTGAATGCAATAAGTCTACGTGACGTAAAACCATTTGATCGCTTAAGCCCCAGAAAGAATTAATTACAAAATGTCAAAACTAATTATCAGTGCATAAAATATATGTCTGCATTTTGTACCATTCCAATCTTCAATTAAATGGACTTATTTATATTCTCTCAAAACATTTGATATTTGATTTTTTTTTTTGCAATTATTTACTAGGCATCAAGAAGAAAATAAGATAATAAAAAATATTTTCAATCCCATATTCCACGTTCTGTGTGCATACAGTTGCTTCTTTAAGTAGTGCCACTTTATGATTTATTTGTATGACGGTATAGAGATATGTATAAGGCTAAGATACAATAATAATGAAAAGTCTTCTGGCAGTTAAATGCAATAAGATCAGCTGATTAATATTTGAGAATGAAGAAATCGTGTGGAACTTTCAAAACCTAATATGTCCAAATTCCACAATGGAAATGGCCAAATATTTGAACCCAGGAAATTGTCTTCCATGCCATCATCATGATTTCTCTTCCCAGCAGCTAAACTAGGAGGAACATATTCTGTCTTCTAGTTCAAGATATTAACAGAGATGTTTGAAATATAAGAAATTGATTTTGGAAAGATGTTTGCAATCAAATTCATATAATTTGGCTTAGCATGGCATGGCACTGGGATATTTAAAGAAGTGGCATACCAAATAAGTATCTGCCCCTAAGTGTGAAAATGCCTGTAAGTGCAAGGACCAGTTGTAAATCACTTTTTTCAGTGAGATTATAACTTCAAACGGTCATTAAATGAATGGTTGAAGGTCGAGGAATATCTGTATGCAGACAATCCAAATTCAGATGTGACTGTTCCTTCAGGGAAATACAGTCATTATTACTGAACCCAGCAAAAGGTATAATGATGTTGATTTAAAATACATTTACAGTTTATCTGGGGGGAGAGAATATTGTAGTTTTGAAATAACAGTTTTTAATTAATCTAGGTTAAGATGGAATTTAGCTACTTCTGTGTTGTAGAAATGAGATAAAAGCAGAGAAGTTGAGCATTCAGTTTTGATACTAGATTTTTTCCCCTCATATTTGAAATTCCTCTTTCACTAAAGAATTGCAAAAAATGTAAAATCATAAATAGACCTTTCTCTAGATTGCTAAAGAAGCCATTTCTAATTCGGCATTTAACATTAAAGTAACGTTTTGTATGTTTCGTTCTTAGCATCTTTTGGTTGAACTAGTCTTTCAGTGCCATTATAATGATCATTATTTGTTTATTTATTTTTTATGAGACACTGCGAATAAGGTATTGCTGGCTTTGTTCACGGCTGAGATGCTGCTGAAGATGTACAGCCTGGGTCTTCAGGCTTATTTTGTGTCTCTCTTCAACCGCTTTGATTGTTTCATCGTTTGTGGCGGAATCCTGGAAACTATCTTAGTGGAAACAAAAATCATGTCCCCACTTGGCATCTCCGTGCTGAGATGTGTACGACTTCTGAGAATCTTTAAAATCACAAGGTATATGCTTTGTTTAATGTTAAGTGGGATTGACAGGGGAGAAAGAAAGTTCCACCATTTTCTACTTGGAAATGTTATTCCAAACAAATAAGGCAAATTATGAATCTGCCACTCCTTTGCATAAATCATTTTTTCCTTGAAAGTCATTTCTTCCTTCATGACTGGTGATGTGGAAACAACAATTTTTTTTAAAAAAAAATTATTTTAAACATAAACAAACATACAACGTAAATACATATAAAAACACATACATAATACACACACAAAGAAACAAGAAAAAACTATCCTAAGAAGCTATCCTATTGGTGGTTGTTTACTCATTTTTAAATTATTTATGCCCTTTTGTTACTTTTTTTTTTTTCACTGTGTTGTAAGGTGCTGTGCAAATAAGATAGGCCAGGGCAATGGGCAAGAGATACATGGATTTAAAATGGGTTAAATAAAATCACAGTCAAGTATAAATGCGACATAAAACCGCTAAGAACTTCATAAAATTAGGATGGTTTGAAAGGTAAAATAAATAGACATGACAAATCAAGAACAGAGTCACTTGACAATGAGATGGGCAGCATATAAATTTAATAAATAAAAATAAATAAAAATGTTCACTCTGTGAGGTAAAGTTTAACCCCAATCCAATCAGCCTTTCAAAAATCCTTTAAAACGATGATTTTTCCAGCAGCTTTGGGGATCCTCTAGAAACAGGGAACTTGTGAGTTAATTACATTGTATACAGGATGTTAATCCATTGCCCCATGACCTTATTTGTATTTATTTGTAATAGTTCTATGATTATTTAGACTTGGTTTTAGTTGTTATACTCAGCTCAGTTATTTTAGTTATTTAATTATTTTAGTTATTGTACACCGCTCAGAGTCATGTTTGTGAGATGGGTTGCTATATAAATTTGGATAATAATAATAATGATGATGATGATGATGTTGTACTTGGTTAATACCAAAGATGCTGGCAGCAACCCGTATCAACCATTAGCACCAGTCAATGGTATTTGTGATACATTTTTGAATGTTCAGTTGACTGAGTTTCATGTTTAATGAATAAAGTAAATAATAATAATAATAATAATAATAATAATAATAATAATAATAATAATAGAATCCTGTTTGGGAGGACACTTGGGAGGTGCAGCAGCAAAATCTGAAAGGCCTTAGTTCAGTGTTTCTCAACCTGAACCACCAGCGATTCTGGGAGTTGAAGTCCACCCATCTTCAAGTTACCAAGGTTGAGAAACACTGCCTTAGTTGATCAGGGCCCATGCACAAGGGCTTCTGAAGCATACAGTTAGTCCTTGTTTAACAACTGCTGTGCTTAGTTCCTGTTTGAAGTTACCATGACACAGAAAAGGTACTTTTAGGGCCAGTCCAGGGGTGAAATCTAGCAGGTTCTGACAGGTTCTGGAGAACTGGTAGCAGAAATTTTGAGTAGTTTGGAGAACTGGCAAATGCCACCTCTGGCTAGCCCCAGAGTGGGGTGGGAATGGAGATTTTGCAGTATCCTCCCCCTGCCACACCCACCAAGCCACGCTCACAGAACCAGTAGTAAAAAAAAAAATTGGATTTCACCATTGGGCCAGTCCTCATTTACAGCTGTCAAAACTTCCCCATAGTGACATAATCCAAAATGGAGCACTTCGCAATTTGTGAGCGTTTGCAAACATTGCAGCATCCCACAATCACGTGCTCACTATTTGTGTGCTTTCCAATCAGTTTGTGACAAGCAGAGTCAATGGAGAAATCAGCAGTAAATGCTATAATGGCTGGTTTAAATGACCGCATCTCTTAGCAACAGCATTGCAGTCCCAATTGTGATTGTAAAATAATTCAGATACCTTGGTCCCAAGCTAAATAACCCCTGAAAAATTGAATTGGGCCTGGAAATAGCCTGAAATCTAGAAAAGACAGTCAGGACATGGTAAAGCAAAACTTTTATGCTCAACTATATAAAAAGTTCTAAGGCATACATGCTGTTTATTGTTCTAAACTAACAAAATCCTACTTCTCAAACTACTTCTAACCTGTGTAAAGATTGTTGTATACCTTTATTTTTAAAAGACTTTAGAGGAGTGTGTTAGCTATAACACCTATAGTAATTTGAACTCTTGGAGGCAATAAAGGGATTAATCAAGTGTTTAGAAAATTTTAAATTTACCAGATTTGATACCACTGACTTTGTGGGGAAAAAAACCATGTTGCTTGGAACTTGGAACTGACTTTCCCCAGTTGTTTGTGTATGTCTCACAAGGTTCAACAGAATGGGCACACTCCAGGTCTCCTCTTTTTAAAGGCGTGGCCTTGAGAACTAGGCAGAAGTTCCACTACCAAGTCAACAATCAGAGGGTCTTGAGCTTGGGCCAAGAAAATAATTTGGACAAACTGCTCCCTACTTCACACAAAGATAAAAAGGGGGAGGTAGAAGCACAGTCATACTTCCAAGGTTCTGTTACTATAGTTATTTTGGACCTACATGACACTGGTTTCTTAGTCTACATTACCATAATGGGCTGACATAGGACCAAAATCTCCTCAAACAAACGAACTACCTAAATAGTCACTCAGTGATCTTGTTAGAGCTATTGATTGGCTGTAATGGTCTCAGTAGTGGGTTGCTACAGCTTCGCCCCAGTTTGGCAGCAGGAGGCTCCGTCCGGACGCTTCTGCACATGCACACAAGCACATGCGCGCCCATGAGCGAACCGGTAGCAACGGGTTTTGAAACCCGCCCCTGGATGGTCTCAATGGGGCGGGTTTCAATGGATGGTCTCAATTGCCCCATAGAATTCCTGAATTCAGATCATACGTCAAAAGAGAACTCTATCTCCTCTTTCTCCTTCTTTGCAAATCCGTATTCTCACTCCTCCGCATCCGTGGGCCTTTATTTTAATTTTATTTATTTATTTGTCCAATTTATATAGCCGCCCATCTCACCAAACAAGCTATTCTGGGTGGCATAATTGAAATGAAGACTATTATTCCTGTTTATTTATTAACTGTGTGTATATTGCAGCCGTATAACTCTGTGTCTCTAGTGGCACACAAAACAACTACATTAAAATAGAAAATAAAATCATGATTCTAATAGAACTAAAACCCAGTAAATCACAGACTGTAAAAATAGGAAACCCATTGAGAATTATATGATCACAAATGGTTTTAGAGTGTGCAGACTTAGTTATCATAACTACTATCATAAAGTAATGTTCTGCATTTCTTCTTTATCATCATAATTGGTAAAATGGCTGATTGCAAAAGGCAGATACATAATTTCAACATAAGAGCTTTTGGCTTACAGAAAGCAAATAATACAATAACAGGGAAAGGGACAGAAACCCCCTAATATTAGAGGTTTTATAAAGAACTGAGTTATAATAGACTAAATCTTTTGATTTGGGTTTAATCAAATATGGAATTAGTTTTTCTTTTCATTATAATTCCCCCTCTGACTACTTGGAATTATTTGTGTGGCCAAATCTGATTTCTAGCATTAGCAACGTTATGTACAGTGTGTTTTCAGTCACTGTTTTGCATTGTAGCGTTAGCAGCACAGAGGGTGTATATGGGGGTATACTATAATTTTTTTATATTCCACTTTACCTCATTGCATTCTCTTTGTGAAAGTGTATACTCTGGTAATCTCCCAAAGCAAAATCTGTAGTAAGGCCTCCTTCATCTGTGAGCTGATCACTAATCACTGAGGACTGACCTGGTGTATATCACCAAGATTTGATTCAGCCTGGAAGGGAGTCTTTCTCTCTTGGAGATGTGCCCACCTGGGTTTCAAGTGTGGCATCAATCAAGAACCCAGGTCAGGGGTGAGGTGTGTCTATGTCACCCAAGTTTCTCTTTTGACATCCAGAGCATTGGTCCACAGACAGATAAGATACCTATTAGTTTCAGCTCGAGGAGTCAGTTGGGGTTATTGGAATTATATCAGCTTCCCTACTGTAGTACGGCATGTCAACCTCCTTTCTTGGTTTCCTTGATTGTCTGGCCAGGTTAGCAATGAAGTTCCCAACTCATGATGTTGGGAGACATTTTAGGGAAGGTGACTGAGAAAATGGTTGTTCAGCAATTCCAAAGAACTCTGAATGAGGCTAATTAACAGGACCGCTTCCAATCACTTTGCAGGCTTGGACGTAGGATCGAAAAAGCATTGGTCACATTAGTAGATGACATTTGACAGGAGTGGGATGGGGCAATGTATCCATGCTTGCTCCCCTAGATTTTTCACCAGCTTTTGTAATGGAAAGAGTAATAATGTTGAGGAACAGGAGGAAAAGCTACAACCAGAGCAAAGGTCTGATAAAAAAAAACCCTGAATTTAGGTCAGAACTATAACCTGAATAAGCCTCTCAGACAAGACCCCACCAAATTGTCATGAAGATAAGGGAAGAAGCACATTCAGGTTGTGTTCAGATTCTTCAAATTCTATTACTATAAGTCACTTAACAGTGATATGGGTGCATTTCAATAAATATAAATAAATAAATAAATAAATAAATAAATAAATAAATAAATAAATAAATAAATAAATAAATAAATAAATAATCAATCTATCTTATAATAAAAGTAGTATTAGAATGCATGAATTTGGTTTCCTAGTTGACCTACCTTGAAGTTCTGACAGCTGTCAACACTGTTGATCATGAAATCCTTCTGGACTCAAATCAGGGGTTGGGAATGGGCAGCTCTATTTTACATTGGTTCTATTCAGGGGTGAAATCCAGCAGGTTCTGACAGGTTCTGGAGAGCCAGTAGTGGAAATTTTAAGTAGTTCGGAGAACCGGTAGCGAAAATTTTGAGTAGTTCAGAGAACCGGCAAATGCCACCTCTGGCTGGCCCCAGAGTGGGGAGGGAATGGGAATTTTGCAGTATCCTTCCCCTGGAGTGGGGTGGGAATGGAGATTTTGCAGTATCCTTCCCCTGCCACGCCCTCCAAGCCATGCCCACCAAGCCATGCCCACAGAACCGGTAGTAAAATAATTTGGATTTCACCACTGGTTCTATTCTTTCTTTGGGAATAGTTCCAGGCAGAGTTGATGGGCGGCGGAGAAGTCTTTTCCATGGCCCTTGCTTTATGGATTGATGCAGGGTTCAACACTTTCCCCACTCCTATTTAACATATACACGAAGCTGCTGGGTGAGGTCATTCAACAGCATAGAGTGAGGTATCATCTCTACCCTGGACCATCCAAGTGACATGAGATTCTGTCTTGATGACTGGAGTTTTATGGAGACATATTAGTGAAGGATCTAGGTCCCTCTAGTTCCATAGATTCTCTGTCACTTGTTCTGGATGAGATTAGGTCATCTTCCAGAGCTCTGCAGTTGCTGGAGACTGTTATCTTGTAGTCCCACAAGGAGAAGCTTGTGGGCAATCTCAAGTCCTCTCCTTATCTAAAGAGGAATTTTAAAAGAGCCAGTCTATTCTCTGGTTCTACATTCTGCTGCAGTCTTCAATTCCCCTTTTCACAGAAGTGTTCTCAATCTGCTATTTCTTCCCCAGAAATTCCTACAAATGATTGCATGATGATATATGTCCTAAGTATTCAAGGTGCAGAAATTGGGAAGGACTTTTGTGTTTTATTTCTGTGGTCGTAAAAATGCTAGTTTTCTACTGTTTATCTTAGAGGAATATCTGAATTATTTATTTCTTAGTTCATTCTTTGGAAAAGACATGTTTGTGGGTATCAGGCAGCTTTCCCCAAAGAAATACCTAACAGACAAGAAACACCTGGTTTCTTTTTGTTTGGCTCTCCAGGTACTGGAATTCCTTGAGTAATTTGGTGGCTTCCTTGCTCAACTCAGTGCGCTCCATTGCCTCCCTGCTGCTGCTCCTCTTCCTCTTCATCATCATCTTCTCCCTCCTAGGGATGCAGCTCTTTGGGGGCAAGTTTAACTTTGATGAGATGCAGACCAGGAGAAGCACCTTTGACAACTTTCCACAGTCATTGCTCACTGTGTTTCAGGTACAGTTTTCTTTCAGTCTATTTTTTAAAAAATAATGCACCCTTCAGTAGCAATGGAACAGGATTCTTATGTCTATACCAACCTATATTGAACTAAACACTTTCAAAAATACAATTAACATTCATTAATCACTAGAACTTTTTTTTTTAACGTTGCAACATTTCCCCAAACAGGTAAACATAGGGGAAGGTGGGCTGAATAGGAATCTGAATAGGAAACATCGAATGCATAAGTACAAGATTAGGGAGATCTAGGCCAGCAGCAATTATTCTAGATCTAGAAAGATCTAGAGCCGGGGTCGGCAACCTTAAACACTCAAAGAGCCATAAAGGTCCTAACTGGAAACCCCCCCGTTCAATTCTGGAGCCAACCGGAAGTCCGGTTCCCCCACCATAGAATCTCTTCCTAGCGTGTCCTTTTTCCTCTATCTGTCTTGGCCGAAAGCCCTGTCAATTGTGGAGCCAACCAGAAAACCCACCCCTTGCCATAGAGTCTCCTCCTGGCGCGCCGTGCTTTTCCCTCCCTAATCGGAAGCTCTTCAAAATTGTGGCACCAACCGGTGACAGAGCCGCAGCAGAGGGATGAAAGAGCCACATGCGGCTGCAGAGCTGTGGGTTGCTGACCCCTGATCTAGATGTTACAGTGGATCAGAATAAACACATGGTATGAGACAGCAGCACAACAAAAAACAGAAAGTCAATGTTTTGGGAGGCTGAAATAACAAAAGCATTGTATCTAGATCATGGGAGGTATTAATCCCATTGCACTCTTCATTGACTAAAATTAAAGGAGAGATCCATGCTGAATATTAATTTCCTAACTGTAAGAGATGCTCAACAATAATCTGTCTAGAATTGTGCTAGATCTCCCTTGTTTGAGATTTTCCGGTGGAGGTTGGATGACGATAATCTGTAGTTCAGTTTATGGGCTGAGCAGAGAGATGGACTGGATAATCTATGAAGTCCTTCAGGTGCATATAGACTAAGATTCTACTCCACAGCCTGAGTTGGTGGATATATAATCCTACCCACATGTGCAGAACATCTTTCCATTTGTATCTTGAAACCCAAACGGAGATTTGAGTCAATACCTTGGAGTTTACTGATCAGGTAGGTTTCTTCAAAATAGAACAGGATGGTGGTTATTTCTTGTAACAGGCTTTTTTGCAGGTATTCTGCATGCTGTCTAACTATATATCCCCCCTCCATTGGCGGGAATGTGTCATTTAGATCCTGACTGGGGAGGACTGGAATTCGGTGATGTATGATGGAATCATGGCTTATGGCGGCCCCTCTTTTCCAGGCATGTTGGTCTGTATTTACTTCATCATCCTCTTCATCTGTGGAAACTGTATCCTTGAGTGTTTCTCTGTTGCAAATCGTTTGAATATAGTTTGAATTAACAATAGGGCAGCATTGGCAATTGATATGGTTAAGCACCAGCTAGGGCTCATATATGATAAAATGGTCTGTACTGACTGAGACTGCATCCTGCTGCTCTTCTTCCTCTCTGCCATCTCCTGCTAGCTCAACTATTGCTCCTTCTGGATCAGGTAATTAAAACCATCAATGTTTAGCAAACAGCCTCTTATCTGTTGGATTTCAACTTGAACCCATCTCAGAGTGGAGAGGGTTGGTTTCCTGGTTTGTTCTTCTTCATGTGGGAAAATGGATAGAAAGTCACAAGGACAGCAAAAGTTCCTTGGATAAATTTCAGACCTGCAGGTTTGTTCCTAGCAAAACTGCTTCCACCATTAACAGCTGCCTATCCCTTCATCAAAGAAAGGTTTTTTATGCTTTTCATAAGGGAAAGGCAGATAATTCTGCCTTAGAGGATCCAATGAAACACAGAGGACTGGACATATCTTAATTCTGCTCACACAGAGGACCACATTTTGAGTATATTTTTAAATTTGTTGTTATGGTTACTTGCAAATTCGTGTTTGACCCATCACAACCCCACGAACAACTTTCCTCCAGGCCTTCCTGTCCTCTATCATCCCCCGGAGACCATTTAAGATCACGCCTACTGCTTCAGAGACTCCATCCAGCCACCTCGTTCTCTGCCGTCCCCTTCTTCTTTTGCCCTCAATCTTTCCCAGCATTAGGTTCTTCTCCAGTGAGTCCTTCCTTCTCATTAGGTGGCCAAAGGATTTGAGTTTCATCTTCAGGATCTGGCCTTCTAAAGAGCAGTCAGGGTTGATCTCCTCTAGGACTGACTGGTTTGATCGCCTTGCAGTCCAAGGGACTCGCAGGAGTCTTCTCCAGCACCAGAGTTCAAAGGCCTCAATTCTTTGGCGCTCAGCCTTTCTTATGGTCCAGCTTTCACAGCCATACATTGCAACTGGGAAACCATAGCCTTGACTATACGCACTTTTGTTGGCAGAGTGATGTCTCTGCTTTTTAGTATGCTGTCTAGATTTGCCATAGCTTTCCTCCCCAGGAGCAAGCGTCTTTTAATTTCTTTTAAAAAATTTTAAATAATGAATTTCAAAATTCTAGAAATACCAGAAGCCAATGGTAATCGATTTTATTGATTTCAAAAAGACAATATTCAACGAGAATCACTATGGAATATTGTAAAGTCCTATTGTATTCCTCAGTGTTTTATCAACATCTTCAATAGCCTGTATTATAACTCTAGCTGCTGTGTATGAATGGAATCTGGCAACACAGATTCTTTAACATTGATACAAGAGTAAAATAGGGATATATAATATCGCCATTCTTGTTTCTCCTGTCCATGGACTTTGTTATACATAGAGTGATGGATAATTCTAGCTTTGGCATCCCATGGGCAACACCTCATTTAACAGATTTAGATTTTGCAGATGACATCACATTGCTTGGTGAAAAAAGGGGTGCTTGCAAGAAATGACCATCAGTTTAGATAATGAGGCCAACAAGATTGGCTTATGTATAAATTTTGAGAAGACCCAAGTTTATGCAAGTTGGAAGTGCTCAGGGTAATGTGCCTATAATAGTCCATGGCCAGGTTATAGAACAAGTCCAACAATTTACTTATCTTGGTAGCATTATGTCTATTGATGAAGGTATAAATAAGGACATTAACTATCAAATTGGAATGGCAGCAGCCATGTTTCAAGGCATGCACCCAATTTGGTCTACGGCAGCCATAAATATTACCACAAAGATAAAACTCTTCAAGAGTGTTGTCATACCAACTGCGATATGTGCTTTTTGAAACATGGAAGTTGATTAAACAGTTAAATGTTTTGCAGCAATGCTGCTTGAGAAGAATGTTCCATGTCTCACATCGTGACTATGTCACTAATGAGAAGATACTAGAAAGATCAGATTTAGAACACCTATTAAGAACTCAATGAACATCAAATGTGGTTTGCTGGCCATATATCACATATGCCTAAAGACTGGCATCCCAAAATTGCACTACGTTGGATACCTCCTGGAGGGAAGAGGAAACAAGGCCAAACTCGGAAAACTTGGCACCAAACACTAAAGAAAGATCTTAAGATTATTAATACCTCTTGGGACAAAGCCAAAGATGCTACAAATAATCAAAACTATTGGAAATCACTTGCTACCCAATATGTTCTGCACAGGACCTAATGTATGTATGTAAAACTATAGAGAAGTTATATTCCAAGTACTGACCATCTGAAGTTAGCCAAATGCCATCTCTTTTTTCAGTTGTGTAATCATCATGTGCGGTAATTTGTATCTAAGAATGCTAACTTTTACTTAAACATTTACTCTTGATGAACATTTTTTATGTGGCCTCACCAGTGCATTGGGAAACATTGCTGTGTCTGCTATTCTTGGTGAAATATATGAAATAATTTATGCGTTCACCCTTAAAACTATTAATATTAATTTGAATGTTTATTTTCACGTTGCCTATTCACATTCTAAATACCATTTCACAGGATTGTGCTTCATAGATATTCACCGATATTTTCTTTAAAGAATCTACAAATAGATATCCTGCTGAATGTCTTCTTGGCCATTGCTGTCGACAATCTTGCTGATGCCGAAAGCTTGACATCTGCTCAAAAGGAGGAGGAAGAGGAAAAAGAAAGGAAAAAACTAGCAAGGTAAACTTTTGTCTATCTTGGCATTTTTTCTAGAGAGTAAAAACATGTCCAGAACAAGAGCTTCTCATGCTTTGTTAGGTACAATATTGTTAGGTACAAAAGCTAAGGTTTTTTGCACTTGTGTCAGAAGCACCGAGGAAGTTCCAGGCTGAAAGGATTAGCCAGTGACATCACCGTTGCCTGGGGGGCTCCCAGTTGGGGGCTCCTCTCATGTCCCCAGCAGGAGCTGGAGCAAAGGATGAGAGCTCACTCTTGCCCCACAGCAGCAGCACTCGGGTCACAAACATGGGCTTGCTAACCTCCAACCCAATGTCCTAACCGCAAGAGCCACTGTGCTCCTTCTAGCTAAAGATAGACAATGGAAGATATTCTGGAGAAAAATAAGTGTTCTTCACCAAGTGTTTATTCAGTTTATTCCAGGAAGCCAGTCATACAAATTGCAAAATATCTCCTCAAGCACTTCATCTTTTAATGTCAATACATGGGAGCTCTTTTGGCTTGAGCAATAAAGATCAGAAAAGGTGGCATATCTACATATCCTGGATGTGTGTTGAAACTTTAAGTAGCTTTTGCACAGCTTGAAGCAGGGTTGGCAGCATTAGCTTGGAACCTAATATATATATATATTAGTATATGATATATATTAGTATATGTATATATATATATATACATATACTAATATATATCATATATATATTTAATGGAGGAAAAAAGTTATTTTCATTGCAGGCTGAAGATCCTCCACAAATAATTTGGGAAAGAGGTAGCTCCCAAACAAAGTACAACTGATAGGACAGTGATGGTGAAGTATCAAAGGTGACATACCACAATGTCTTGGGTGAAATGTTAGTGCTCACCCACGCATGAGAGCTATTCTCATTAAGCACACTCATTCTTGTGTGATTTTTTTAGAGGCTGTGTAGCCTGTGTGAGAATGGGGCGTGCTCTTACATCTGTGTAAGTTACATCAATACCAAATTCAATCTTATTTTGCATATCTTGTGTTCATTTTCCTTATTCTGCACTTTCTTAAACATGCATGATAATGAATTGGGAAGACTATCTTGCCTTTTGAAGCTATGGATTCTTATCCATCTTTCTTCTTTTGCATAGTTTCTCGCAATGATTCTCCTAATTAAGAATCTACATGTTTGAAACGTGATAAATAGTATAAACTTGTATAGAGATAAGGAATTGTATTAATTATGAGGTAAAACTTGAAGAAAATGTTTAAATTGGAGACGCCACACCATGTCCAATGTTTTTAATTTGTATTATTAATAAAAAAAAATTTAAAAACAGAGAGAGAATGTGGCGTGCTCTTGCATGGCCTCTGAAAGTTACACAAGAGAGCCATACTCCTAAATGGTACATGGCAGATCCTGGGGAGGGCTGGGCCATGGGTGAAATTGCACCATTCCCTAATACTCACAGAGTGGCAGTGGTGGCACTAAGACTGAGGCCCAGGCCTCAACTTCAGGCCCCGCTTTGGCGCCGCTGCTGAGAGCCACTATTCAATATGGCCTAGATTTAGGAGGAGGGGGGAGAATTGTCGATTTTTTCTTTGGGGTGAGTAAGTGAGTGACATACCAGCAGAAACAAGTCAGGCATTTTCTGAACTTTGGACATTTTGGTTCACCATCATTGAATTAGGACCCCTGGTTGGAAAATGAACTTTCCTTCTATTAACTTGCTAGATTATTTCAGGATGCAAAGTTGTTTTTGAAAGTCTGGTAGGGACATGATTATTAATATTACTTGTTTCTGAGAGGAGCAAATGTTTCTGAAGGTAAGTGAATATTCTTGCACTTGTCTATTGGGCTATCCGCTACTCAAGGAAGCCAGTATTGGCAATTCATTAGCTGATTTTGTGTGTGTGTGCTAAATTGGTAGGACTGCCAGTCCTGAGAAGAAAAAGGAGCCTGAGAAGCCAGCTATGGAGGCAGAGACAAAGGAGGAAAAAATTGAGCTGAAATCAATTACAGCTGATGGAGAATCTCCATCTTCTAATAAGGTTTGCTGCTTTCCACTATCCAACTTGCTTTGAGATGACTGTTGACTGTTTTTATGAATCAATAAATAAGCACAACTAAAAGAATGGCTGTTTTCTCTTTTGGCCAGAGCAACACAGATGAATATCAGCCAAATGAAACTGAAGAGAAAAATCCCTATCCTACTGCAGAGACACCAGGTAATTTACTGTCTTGCCCATTTTCTGGAATGACCAGACGTGTCCTCAGGGAAGGATAAAATAACACAAGATGGCGACCAAAAGTATGTGATTAAATTTCAGCCGTGAAAAAAGGAAAAAAATACATTCATCAAGAATCATAAGATTTATCTGTATGAGTTTTGCTGTGCTCAGAGTTTTTATTCCATTTTAAGAAACTTGGCAAATGGCAATTGAGGATTTGAAATTCATATTAACATTTGATTTGTAGGGTAAATATTTGAAAGTGTTTCAAAATTTCAGTTTGTTGTGAACTGGCTAGGTATCCCTAGTACCGTGATGGCGAACCAATGGCATGAGTGCCATAGATGGCACACAGTGCCCTCTATGTGGGAACGCAAGCCGTCGCCCCAGTTCAGCTCCACCATGCATTCAGGCGTGCCTCCCACTGGCCAGCTATTCTTTGGGTCTCTGCCACGCATGTGCGGGGGGGTGGGTGCATGCGGGGGACCCGCATGTACATCAGAAGTGAGTTTAAAAAATTTTTACTACCGGTTCTGTGGGTGTGGCTTGATGGGCATGGCATGGCTTGGTGTGCATGGTAGGGGAAAGATACTGTAAAATCTCCATTCCTACCCCACTCCAGGGGAAGGATACTGTAAAATCTCCATTCCCTTCCCACTCCAGGGCAAGGTTACTGCAAAATCCCCATTTCCTTCTGATCAACTGGGACTTGGGAGGCAGAGAATAGATGGGAGCGGGGCCAGTCAGAATTTTTATTACCGAACTACTCAAAGTTTTCGCTACCGGTTCTCCAGAACTGGTCAGAACCTGCTGAAACCCACCTCTGATACACATGCGGGGAGCAGGGCGCATGCAGAGATACACAAATGCATGGGGGATGGGCCACATGCGAGGGCCGCTCACATGCATGCATGGGGAGCGCATGTGCATTGCATTTGGAGGTTTGGGCGCACGCGCTTTGGGCACTCAGTCTGGAAAAGGTTAGCCATCACTGCCCTAGTATATGTCAGGTGTAAACAACACATTTGAAGAGTTCATTTAGTTGTTTTATTGCTCAAGCCTATACCCCAGAAACTTCTCAAAGTAGTGGTTTGCACTTGGGTGAGATTACCTAAATTTCAGTGGCATTTAAAGGTTTAAATCAGACTTTGCCCTCTTCCCCCTGGCTTGGCCAGTCTCTCTTCAATATTAAACTCCTAAGATTTCTCTTGTCAACTTGGATATCTAGTAGCATAATCAACCTACAGGTATATTTTCATCCCGTTTAAGTGGTTTAATGTAATCTAATGTGTGAATACATTTGACCACCAGGAAGATAAGGATCAAAAGGTCCAATTTATTTTGGAAGCCTATTCCTACTTAGTAGTGGACTTTTATCTTCACTGATTCAGAAGTAACTAAGACAAACACAGATGAGGGTTTAAAAGACTGTTTCCCAGCTGTGGTGCATTCTTCTCATTTGCAGTGCTGAAGCTCTGCATATTTTATAGTCATTTTCCAGTTGATGGGAAATTGCCTCATCCTGGTCCTGGGGCTCAAGTCATTCTTCTCTCACCACATAAATATTTCTCCACCTTGGGAACTTTAAGCTGTGTGGACTTCTAGAATTCTCAAGCCAGTCAAGTTCTCAAGGTTGATACAGAGCCATAGAGATTCAGTTGTTGTAGCTTTACCCTGACCCTATAATTTCTGTGGTCTTGCTGCAACTGAGCCTCGGTGGCTTTGTGACTCTTTTCATAAATCATTGGGCAAATGCATAGAATACCAACAAATAATTTTATTTATACCCAAAAGGCCCAAAAGCAAGTTACAAACATAATCTTAACGCACTGTAAGCCGCCCTGAGTCTCCGGAGAAGGGCGGCATATAAATCAAATTTTAAAAAAAAAATCTAAACTTGGCATTTGATAAAACAGTTTAACAAGTAAAATATTTAATAAATATTATATAATACATGTAAACCCTAGCTCATTGATTTGTTATTAAAAGCCTTCTTTTTAAAGCTATAGTCAAAAGATCTGACTGTTGCCATTGTAATCTTAGGATTTTTTATCTGCAAGTAAAATTTGTACATATTTAGAAGTATCTATTGATAATCTCCTGCTTTAGATTTTAAAATAGGCCAAATAGCCTTCTACCGAAGACCCTTGTAAAATTCACAATACAATAAAATGTGATCCACCATTTCGGAATCGCTACCAAAAAATATTTGAGAAATAGGATTTTTTAAAAATTTACCGTATACCATATTTGATGTCTGTGCACCAGTGTGGGTTGCTCCTGGTTCTGTCCAGTTCTTTAGAACCGGTAGTAAAAGTGGCGGGAGGCTCCGCCCACCCACCCGGACGTCATAATTGATAATCTGCATATGCGCAGAAGTGCAAGCGCGCACGTGAACGAAGCAAGCACGTGCACACGTTCCCATTGTGAACCAGTAGTAAAGGTAAGTAGAACCCACCCCTGCTTTGCACATTACACATTTGATGGCTATACACATTTAATCTGACTTTTGAAAAGCCTATTTGATATTTACTAAAAGGGTATGTTTTTAAAAACACGGAAGGATTGCTTCAGGAAATCCCAAAAGTATCCTTTGTAGTTATGTAGTTTAAACAGGTGGTTCAAAAGATTAGTCAGATTAGCATTGATCTTGATTATTTATTCTCCAGCCGTCTATCATCAGCAATTCATTGTATAAACAAAGATCAAGGGTAATTCATTACAGGAATTAATGGCCAAAGCTAAATTATCCTGTTCGCCTACAGTATTTGGAATTAATTGTAGATATATTTTTCAACTCTATATATTTGAATACTTATATTTCAGGAAATTTAGACAAACAAATAATGTGATGGTAAGAGCCTGAGTGGTGTAGGAGGCTAATGCCTCCTACTAAGGCAGCATTTAACAGCCAGCTGCCTGCAATTACTGCGAGTTCAATTCTCACCAGGCTCAAAGTTGACTCAGCCTTCCATCCTTTCTAAGATGGGTAAATTGAGGACCCAGTTTGTGGGGGCAATAAGCTGACTTTGTATAAATATACAAAAGTATGAAGGCTATTGCTTAACGCATTGTAAGCTGCCCTGAGTCTCCGGAGAAGGGCGGCATAAAAATCATATTTAAAAAAAACAAAAAGGCAAGGCACCGATTGAGCTGTTGGTCCTTCAAACTCCCTCTGAGCAGCTGCAAGAAACAAATTACTGCTTCAGGTTTGTAGGAATGGAAATGATCACAGCTCATGTTCAGTTTGCTTTTGAAGATTTGGACAGTGGCAACAGGGCCATATTTGTACAATGTGTTTAAACAGGTTGGAGGGGTATCCTGTGGATGGTTAAATCCAATAATCACTGGATTCAACAGGTTAGAAAGGTTTAATCTGAACTCCAAATAGCCCTGTGTCATTGGTCAGCCATATTACCTGAAAAAGGACAGTAGGTTGAATGGAGAATTAATCGTATCATCTGTTCTGCCTGTCCTAGAGCAGCTGTGAAGAAAATGATTTCACCAGGCATGCCACATTTCATTTTTTATTTCTCCAGAGCTCAACTGAAGAATGAATTAAGAGCAGGAAAGAATGGGTGTGGGCAAACTTTCCATCTGAATGCAATATTGCTGATTCCAATAGGGCCACTTCTTTTTTAGTCCCAGTATATATATTTCAAAACTATAGGAAGGAACAGCTTCCCAGCCCTTTTTATTGCATCCTTTCTTCTCTGGTTCTCCAGTGCTTTCACTGCTTATCTGGAAGAGAAAGGACAATTTTGAGCTTCAAAGTTATTGGAGGGCAACATCTACACATAGAATATTTGTAGCTCAAGGTTGAACTGTTGCTATTTTCTGAGCTTGGTGGTTTTCTCACAGGCATTTCATTATTCAGCTAGGTAATATCATTAGTGCTAGAAGGGAGTGGGTGGCTCAGTGGGTAAGACACTGAGCTTGTCGATCGAAAGGTCGGCAGTTCAGCGTTTCGAATCCCTAGTGCTGCGTAACAGGGTGAGCTCCCGTTACTTGTCCCAGCTTCTGCCAACCTAACAGTTCGAAAGCAGGTAAAAAATGCAAGTAGAAAAATAGGGACCACCTTTGGTGGGAAGGTAATAGCGTTCCGTGCGCATTTAGGTTTAGCATTTAATCATGCCAGCCACATGACTACGGAGACGTCTTCGGACAGCGTTGGCTCTTCAGCTTCGAAACGGAGATGAACACCGCCCCCTAGAGTCGGGAACAACTAGCACATATGTGTGAGGGGAACCTTTACCTTTACCTAATGGCTTGCCCTTGCAGTGTTGGTGTGAGTGTCCTAAATGGTTCCTCAATTTTGTTTGCCATTATTTGCTGTTAGTTTGTTGATAGTTCCTTGACTGGGGTATTGTGTACTGCTTGTTTTTTGTTCTTATATTAATCTTGCCATTAATCTCTGCTCATATGTGTGAGGTGTTTTGGGCTTTTTGTTTCCTTTGGGCTTTTTGATGGTGTCAAACGAGGACCCCATATCTACTCATATACGACTCAGTTGCAAAGGTCCTCTTGGTCTCTTCTTCAGATACCTTGTTGAGTAACTAGCTAAAAAGATAATTAAAACCGCTATTTCCAGTTAAAGTCATCTATGGAGGAAGTTGGCTCTACATTTCATTTCATTTCATTTCATTTTATTAGATTTATATACCGCCTTACTCCCGAAGGAATCAAGGTGGTGAACAGCCAGAAAGATGAAACACACAAACTACAAAATTTAAAAGACAATATAAAAACCCAATAAATAATTTGGCCCAAAACAATTTAAAACGCCCCTAATGTTTTAAAACCATTTTTAAAAGTTACAATTAAAAGGGAAGTTAGGCCAGGCCAGCCTGTTGAAATAAATAGGTCTTGAGGGCATGGTGGAAGGTGCGTAAATCCGGGATCCTCCGTATCTCTGGGGGGAGCTCATTCCAGATAGCAGGTGCCCCCACAAAGAAGGCTCTCCCCCTGGGGACCGCCAGCTGACACTGTTTGGCCGA